CTAAATTGACAGCCGCTTTTCAATTAATTCAACGTTCACTTCAAGGTATTGTTATGGACACTACAAGCAGAGAGGGTGCTTCATATTGTACCCTCATGGGAATAAAAGAAAATAGAGAGAATTGATTATATGCATGTATATATGTTTGTCCTAAACTTAGCACTTGGACTTGGTTTATTCTTTTCAATTCACATAATTTAGCTGACTAGAGAATCATAGATTGAGCATCAGAAAACTTCCATGGTGTGTACTACCAGAAATAACATTTCTGGATCTTAGGATGCATTATTAATTGTACAATGTTGCTGCATTCTTTTAGATTGACATGTTGTATGATTGCTTCTTTCTTCTGTATATTAGATACAAAAGCTTGGGAAGTGGACACATTGAGGGGTCACATGAACAATGTTTCCTGTGTTTTATTTCACGCAAGGCAAGATGTTATTGTTTCAAATTCTGAAGATAAAAGCATCCGTGTATGGGATGCTACAAAAAGGACTCCTCTTCAGACTTTCCGCAGGGAGCATGATAGGTTCTGGATCCTTGCAGCTCATCCAGAGATGAATCTTCTAGCAGCTGGGCATGACAGTGGGATGATAGTGTTCAAGCTAGAGAGAGAGCGCCCTGCATTTTCTGTGAGTGGAGATTCTCTGTTTTATGTTAAAGACCGGTTCCTTCGTATCTATGAGTATTCAACTCAGAAGGACACACAGTTGATACCAATTCGTAGGCCTGGTTCAACCAGCTTAAATCAAGGTCCACGAACCCTTTCATACAGTGCTACTGAAAATGCTGTCTTAATATGTTCAGATATGGATGGTGGTTCTTATGAACTATATGTTGTGCCCAAAGACAGTTATGGGAGGGGTGATACAGTTCAAGATGCAAAGAGAGGAAGTGGAGGATCAGCAGTGTTTATTGCTCGGCAGAGGTTTGCGGTGCTTGAGAAGAGTACCAATCAAGTTATAGTCAAGAATCTCAAAAATGAAATTGTCAAGAAAAGTATTCTTCCAATTGCTACTGATGCAATATTTTATGCTGGGACTGGAAATGTACTGTGCCGGGCAGAGGACAGGGTGGTGATATTTGATCTCCAGCAGCGGATTGTACTTGGAGATCTTCAAGCATCTTTTGTTAGGTATGTTGTTTGGTCAAATGACATGGAGAGTATTGCTTTGCTTGGCAAACATTCTATTGTCATAGCTGATAAAAAGTTGGTGAATCGCTGCACGCTTCATGAGACCATTCGTGTTAAGAGTGGAGCCTGGGATGACAATGGAGTTTTCATATATACAACACTGACCCATATTAAGTATTGCCTTCCTAATGGGGATAGTGGAATTATCAAGACCTTGGATATCCCAGTATATATTACTAAAATCTATGGGAACACCATTTTTTGCTTGGACAGAGATGGGAAAAACCGTCCCATTATCATAGATTCGACCGAGTACATTTTCAAGCTATCCTTGCTAAGGAAGAGATATGACCAGGTTATGAACATGATTAAGAACTCAGAACTCTGTGGGCAAGCGATGATTGCCTATTTGCAGCAGAAAGGCTTTCCAGAAGTTGCTCTCCATTTTGTGAAAGATGAGCGTATTCGTTTCAACTTAGCTCTTGAGAGTGGGAACATTGAGATTGCACTTGAATCTGCTAAGAGGATAGATGAGAAAGATCACTGGTATAGGCTAGGGGTGGAGGCCCTTCGTCAGGGTAATGCTGGCATTGTTGAGTATGCATACCAGAAGACGAAAAACTTTGAAAGACTATCTTTTCTATATCTGATAACTGGGAATCTGGAGAAGTTATCTAAGATGATGAAAATTGCTGAGGTGAAAAATGAAGTGATGGGTCAGTTCCACAATGCTTTGTACCTTGGAGACATTCGTGAACGTGTCAAGATTTTGGAGAATGCTGGTCATCTTCCCCTGGCCTACATCACAGCCTCAATCCATGGGCTTAGTGATATTGCTGAGCGCCTTGCAGCAGAACTGGGTGGTAATGTCCCTTCTTTGCCTAAGCAGAAGACTCATTCTCTATTGTTGCCCCAAATACCTATCTCTGGTGGAGGAGATTGGCCTCTATTGATGGTTACTAAAGGAATATTTGGAGGTGCTTTGGATATTGGAAACAGGGGTGCACAGGAGGACTATGAAGAACCGACTGATGCTGATTGGGGTGAGTCATTGGATATTGGTGAGGTTGAAACTCTGCAGAATGGTGACATCAATATAGTCTTGGAGGAGGTGGAAGGTCAAGAAGAAAATGACGAGGGAGGATGGGACCTTGAGGATCTGGATCTGCCACCTGATGCTGAAACACCTAAGGCTGCTCCTAATGCACGCTCTTCTGTTTTCATTGCCCCAACCCCTGGTATGCCCGTGAGCCAGATTTGGGTGCAAAAATCATCTCTTGCTGCCGAACATGCAGCTGCTGGCAATTTTGACACTGCAATGCGGTTGCTGAACAGACAGTTAGGCATTAGGAACTTCAATCCTCTAAAACAATTGTTTACTGATCTCCACGTAGGCAGTCACACTTACTTTCTTGCCTCCTCTTCAGCCCCAGTGATTTCAGTGGCTGTCGAGAGAGGTTGGAGTGAATCAGCAAGTCCTAATGTGCGAGGTCCTCCTGCTCTTGTTTTCAATTTCTCTCAGTTGGAAGAGAAACTTAAAAGTGGTTATAAGCTGACAACTCAAGGGAAATTCTCTGAGGCACTTCGAACTTTCCAGAGCATCCTCCACACCATTCCACTTATTGTTGTTGAGTCAAGACGAGAAGTGGATGAGGTCAAGGAACTGGTTATCATTGTCAAGGAGTATGTTATGGGTTTGCAAATGGAGCTTAAGAGGAAGGAAACAAAGGACAACCCTGTTCGACAGCAAGAGTTAGCTGCCTACTTCACCCATTGTAACCTCCAGCTTCCCCACCTGAGACTTGCGTTACAGAATGCCATGACTGTTTGCTACAAGGCCCGCAACATGATGACAGCAGCCAACTTTGCTAGGAGACTCTTGGAGACCAATCCAACCGTTGAATCCCAGGCCAAGCTAGCCCGGCAAGTTCTGCAGGCAGCCGAGAAAAACATGCAAGACGCTTCACAGCTGAATTATGACTTCAGAAATCCTTTTGTCGTTTGTGGGGCAACATACGTCCCTATCTACCGTGGACAGAAGGATGTCACTTGCCCGTACTGCAACACTCATTTTGTTCCATCCCAAGAAGGGCAGCTTTGTTCTGTTTGTGATCTTTCAGCTGTTGGAGCAGATGCATCCGGCTTACTTTGTTCCTCTGCACAGGTCAGATGATTGTAGCATTTACCTGAATTCTGCCAGTTATATTATTCAGACTTTTCCTCGACATTTAGAATCTAGGAATATCAAAGGACAAGTTTTGATCAGATTGTATTTCTTGTTTATATTTGTTTTGAGTTTTGTAGTTAAATTTACAAACCTCTCTGATTCCTCTATTTTTGATTGGTACAAACGCAATGGTCGTGTAACCTTAGTCTACAAACGTAATGGACTTGTCAACATTTTACTTCAGATTGGAAGAGCACTTTTTTTTTTTTTGGTTACATCAGACAAGTGATATGGCTTTTAATTATAAATCTATGAATGTTTAATTCAAATTTGATGAATACTTGATTGGCTTTAGCTCTTTTTATTTATAATATAATATAATCAAATGCCTTTCCAATATACACTTGTTTTCTTTAATGTTTTTATACTATTTTTAAATTTAAGCTTCTTGTAATTAATGGTACTTTTTTGAGTTTTAAAATACATATATTCTACTTGTCTTGGTTAATGTTCATTGGTCAAACTAATTTTTGTTTTTTTGATTTGTTTTCTTTAATGTTTTCTTAAATAGACTAGCTTTTAAATTTAATTTTTTATGTTTATTAATACTTTTAATTTAGTTTCTAATACATAATACATAAATTTTATATATACCAGTGTTGCAAAAATCGCGTCTAGGTGCTACGCGGTCGGCGTCCGCATAGGCGCTCTATGCGCCCTAGGCGTCCGTATAGGCGCTCTATGCGCCCTAGGCGGTCCTCAGGCGCTTAGCGATTTTCTCAACATTGATATATATTAATGCAAAACTAAATATTACAAAATGGTTTCATTTTTTGTTTTAGATTTATAGGTGGTAATCAACTTTTAGTCTTTTTGTATTAGAACATTCACATTTGGTCATAGTATTATTGTGGCGTAACTATTTTTTGTCTCCCGTCAACAAAATCGCTGAAATGACATTAAATATAAGGGTATTTTGATTTTGATTTTGATTTTTTTACAAAGTGGGTTAACCCGTTATATTTTTATTTTTACTTTTTTGAAAAAAAATCTTTATTTGAAAATTGAAATGCTCTTGTATTTAAACGATTTTGTTGATAAATAACAAAAAAAATGGTCATGCCACAATAATACTAAATTATTAGAACAATTTTTTTTTTTTTTTTTTTTTTTTTTTTTTGTAACTGAAAAATCATAACCACTAAGACAATTTATATCATGGATTAATATGGACCCTGAATCAAAACGACGAGGTACAAAATTCATACTCATAAGGTACAAAATTTCACAACACAAGAGTAGACACATACACATGCTATACATTTAATTATTTTTTAAATCTGATTTAGGTACATAATTTGTGTTTATAAACACAAAATTTCACAACACAATACACAAATACATAACATAAGACAAATACTAATTTGTTTCAGATACAAAATTCATATTTTTATGGTATAAAATTTCATAATACAAGATATAAAAATTCACAACATAAAACACATACATATATATATCATGGTTTACAATGCATTGTGAATCTTGGTCCATGATATAAGGATTGACTACGTAAAGTATGCACGGGATAAATATATTTGTACGGTGTTATATGTAAATATACTATGTACTTTGGTTGACAATGCATATAATACAAACTTTCAGTTAACAACTTTCCATGTAGCGTGTGCATGTAGAAATTCCTTGTAAATAAACTATATAAAGAATTTTTTGACCGTACGGCTACTTTAGATCTGAGTTTTATTGAAAGGCGAGGCGATAACACACGAAAAGCGTCATTGCTGGAGGAAAAAGGACGGCCAAAGCCTGTTAGATTATCCTGCCGGAGGCTTCCCTCCGATCATTGACTAAACGGAGGGCATCCACATTGTTACAGATACGGAAATGGCGGAGGGAGGAAGATGTTGTCCGACGATGGATCTGATGCGGTCGGAGCCGATGCAATTGGCGCAGTTGATCATTCCGATGGAATTGGCTCACCGAGCTATCTCCTACCTCGGCGACGATGGCCTCTTCCAATTCAAAGACGTAAGCTCCAAGCCTCCCTCTCTATCTTCTCTGTTTACGTATAACACATACATTCACGTAAACGCGTATTTGTGTGCGTTCCTTCATCGATGAATTATTTCGCATTCAAAACTGAATCGCGCCTACTGCATGACCTCGTGATTTCATCAAGCCTGCATTTCGAAATTGTTTTGTAATAGCTTGATTGATTTCTTAAAATGCATCGGTCGCATTATATTTGTTTCACAGTTTGATGATCGTTTGATTGAATTTCGCATTGATCAGTGTTTACTCTTCAATTTTGAAGTTTTTTTTTTTTTTTTTTTGGATATAATTTTTGGGGAACATAATGTGATCTCTATAAGATATGGATCTCTCTCTCTCTAGTTTGATCTTTGTTTATGGTTTTACAGGCCAGCCTTGAAATATATAGTAAGGAGATCTTACTCATTCATTGTTGCATTTTCCTAACAAATAAGTGGAATTGGGACTGTTCTTTTGTCAATAACCTGGACATATTTCTTACTTTCCTTGTCTTTTTTCATACCTTTTTGGTTGAGGCAGTGCAATTTACTATTGGGTAATCATCAGTTTGCATTTTAATTCATAAATCCTGCCCGTATCTAGAAGCAAAGCTAACATATTTAACTTTGATTTCCTTGAATTTTGTAAATATATTATGATCAGATCTTCTGCTGGTTATTCTGCATCCTAATCTGACATATTTAACATTCCATTTTCTTTATTGATAATTACAATCTGCAGCTCAATGCTGAGAAGAGCCCATTCCAGAGGACATATGCACTCCAGGTTTGTTGCATTTTTTCTTGGCACATTGCTCATATAAAGACTTGTGGTGTACTATTAGAGAAACGCTGATTGTTCATAGGTTTCACTTTATTTTTCTGCCACTGATTTTGATTTCTTGATCTGTGTTTTTAAACCACAAATTACAATGAATGTTTTTCTTCTTAATGACAGATGCCATGTTTTTTATTTGAGAGGTTAATGATGACATGTAACTTCCAGTCTTAAATATTTCAGTTACTATTTCCCCCCAGCACATCTCTATTTAGTAACACTATCATCTGCTGGCAAATTTGATTCAAACAAGTACTTGTAGCCTTAAGTCCTTACTGCTTTTTTATTACCCATTTTTCATATTAACCTTATTAATATGGAGTACTATATTAGATTGGCATGCTTGATTCTTAACAAATTTTATTCTTCGCATTTGTTATTTTTCAAAATGGTGAACCTATTTGGCAATTCGCATATCATAGGTATAACTATACTAAAGTTTTGATAAGCAATAATTAAGCTGATAAGCTCCATAATTGAAAGAGAGACTTTATCACATTCTTCAAAACTCTTCTGGCATTACCGTGTCTCTTTTCTCTTTTAATTGAATGTTTTTCTTTGATATTTATTTGCTATTTGTGATACTTATAATGAACTAAATCTTTTCTGGAATAGATTAAAAGATGTGGCGAAATGGCACGCAGAATTCGGTTTTTCCGGGAGCAAATGACAAAGGCGGGTTTCTCACCTTCATCAATGTCTGCAATGATCAGTAATGTCAATCTGGACGGATTGGAGGTCTGCTTAGTTTGAGAACTTTAAGGATTTCTTCAACATATAACTCCTTGGTTCATTTCTTTTTATTATAAGCAGCATCAGGTTCTAAGCTTGCTTGGCAGATGCACCAATTAATTTATTGATGTATGGCCAGGTAAAACTTGGAGAACTTGAAGCAGAGCTGCTTGAGATGAATGAAAACAGTGAAAAGTTGGAGCGGTCTTATAATGAACTTCTAGAATATAGACTTGTTATGCAGAAGGTGTGTACTATTTAGCTATAAAGCAATACCAACAGATTGTTTGGAAATGTGCTTTACAGCTATTAATTGTGTTTTCCATTTGTAATGGTATGCACTATTTTCTCATTTCAGGCTGGTGAATTTTTCCATTCAGCTCAAAGCAGTGCTTCCGCTCAGCAGAGACAATTTGAGGAGCACAACCTTGTTGAGGGATCAATTGATAGTCCTCTGCTATTGGAGCAGGTAGATTAGTATTGCTTTATAGTTTTCTTTAAAGATAATGTTTTTCCTCAATATGACATGAACTATTTGGTATTATGCAGACAATGTCAGCTGATCCATCCAAGCAAGTTAAGCTGGGATATGTCAGTGGCCTTGTTTCAAGAGAAAAATCTATGGCATTTGAAAGGATTCTGTTTCGTGCAACCAGGGGAAATGTGTTTCTAAAGCAAGTTGTTTTAGATGATACTGTCATAGATCCTGTTTCCGGAGAAAAGGTTAGTTCTTGTACTTCTCTATGCTGGTGTAATTTTTTATTTTTATTTTTTAAAAAAATTACATGTTATTCTGCACTATCAGTATTTCATTATTATTGTGCTCCTGGATAATTACTTTCAGGTTGAGAAAAATGTATTTATTACTTTTTATTCCGGAGAAAGAGCAAAGAACAAAATATTGAAAATCTGTGATGCATTTGGAGCTAATCGATATCCATTCATGGATGACATCGGCAAACAATATCAGATAATAACTGAGGTATGAAATAGATTTCTTTTACAGGATCTGTGTCTCCAAATATGAACCTTGGGGCAATCATGGACCCTTGTCTTGTTCTACATATCTTTTATATTGTGAATCCTCTATTGAATAATGTTTCAAATTTCAATACATTGGTGGGCAGCTATAGTTCCCTACTCAAGAAACAATGAAATGAAAGAAAAAGAGCAGCTTACTCATTTTTTATTCACTCTATGATAGAGAGCAAGTCACTGGTTGCTGTTCAAAATGTATGAGATTGTATTTATTTTGTCTCTTAGGTATCAGGAAAACTTTCAGAATTGAAAACCACTATAGAAGTTGGACAGGTGCACAAGGAAAATCTGTTAAAGGCTATCAGCTTTGAATTTGAACAATGGAACCTTCTGGTTAGTGGATGCAGTTCTTAGTCATGCAACATAATATTTTCGACGGGCCATATTCTCCACATTTATATGCCTATTGTATGAATTTTATGCCAAATTAATATCTAGTTACCCAGTTGCATTATTTTTAATATATGAAGGTGAAGAAGGAGAAATCTGTCTACCACACATTAAATATGCTAAGTTTTGATGTGACCAAAAAGTGCCTTGTAGGAGAGGGCTGGTGTCCAATTTTTGCAACAAGCCAGGTACTGTTTTTTCTTTGTCATTCTAGTTCTTTTCATTAGTCTCACACAGAATCATAATCTTTAAGTGTGATCCTAATTGAGATGCACAAGTTTCAGTTGTCACCACAGAGATTTTGAAGATCTATTTGATAAAGTTTAGATTGGTACATGAATTATTTTTGTCTTGACTTTGCAGATACAAAATGCATTGCATAAGGCAGCTTTAGATTGCAACTCACAAGTTGGGGCTGTGTTCCAGGTGTTGCATACCACAGAATCACCACCCACATATTTTCGCACAAACAAATTTACTTCTTCTTTCCAAGAAATTGTTGATGCATATGGGTGAGTAGTGGTAACATCACTTATCTAAATGCACATATCTAATGACCTAATAAATATGCACAAATTCAATTATTAGGCACCCATTGAAGGCAACTTCTGTAGAGAAGAAATAATCAGTGGCTTCTGCATTAAGTTGATGCCTAGAAGAAAGTTGTGGGCTTAGTAGTAGCAAATTACCAATTATCCTAGAGTGACCTAATAATTAGTGCTTCTATGGTAGGATCTTTATAAGAAAACTAAATATTTTTAATAATTTTACCTTCCCATTCTTTTTGCCATGAATTCATGAAACAAGGTAGTTTAATATTGTTCTTGCACACATCGATGTGCTCATTGTTTTTTGCAATAGTTGTCATTCTAGAGCATCTTATAAATGATTCTTATAGGGTGGCGAAATATCAAGAAGCAAATCCAGGTGTTTTCACAATTGTGACATTTCCCTTCCTATTTGCCGTCATGTTTGGAGACTGGGGACACGGGATATGTTTGTTTCTTGCAACATTGTATTTTGTTTTCCGTGAGAAGAAACTTTCCAGCCAGGTAAGACATTATCTTAGTACAAAATGACTTACTCCACCTACCCATGGTTGTTAATGAATGTGCTGAGAACCATTTTACTCCAATAATGACCCTGGGTTTTTTTTGACCTTTTCCATTCCACTGAATACTGAGCATGAATATGGATGATATTTGTTCTTTCACACTGGGAAGATAAAATCTAGTTCAACTTTTTAAAAAAATAAAAATAAAAATTAGGATTGGAAAAAAAAAGAAGCAAAATAAACGGAATAAAAATTTTGTTATGCTTTGTTAACTATAGTTGTGACACAAATAGAACCAGTATCTCTTACATTTGTTTTTGTTGATTTTTCTTTTCAGTTCTGTAAATTTTATGAGCATCACTAAAGTTCCTTTTTTTTTTTTTTTTTGGGTGAGAACAGAAGCTCGGTGATATAATGGAGATGGCTTTTAGTGGCCGATATGTTATTCTTTTGATGGCATTGTTCTCAATATACACAGGATTTATATATAATGAATTTTTTTCTGTACCTTTTGAATTATTTGGGCGCTCAGCTTATGCTTGTAGCGATCCTTCCTGCAGGTAAGTAGTGAATTATCAACTATATATTGTGAAACTTCTGTGTTATTTTTCCTTATTGCTCCTAATCATGGAACTACTTGTTGAAGGGATGCTACTACAACGGGCTTAATTAAGGTCCGTGACACCTATCCATTTGGTGTTGATCCTGTATGGCATGGCACCCGCAGTGAATTACCATTTCTTAATTCTTTGAAAATGAAGATGTCAATTCTATTAGGTGTAGCTCAGATGAACCTTGGAATCGTTCTCAGCTACTTTAATGGAAGATTCTTTAAAAATGACATAAACATTTGGTAAGTTGGAATACTAGCCTTGCATTATAATTTTTTTCTAGCATCTGTTTTGCATCATGTTCAATAATGCCTGCTTTCACATTCAAGCATGCAATTATTTGAAGAAAAAATATTACCTCCACTGTGTGATCTCAGTACTGGATGTCCACTTATTATACTAAACTTTGTCTTAAATTATTTCAGGCACCAATTTGTTCCCCAGATGATTTTCTTAAACAGCCTTTTTGGCTACCTTACAGTTCTAATAATTTTGAAATGGTACACTGGTTCTCAAGCTGATCTCTACCATGTTATGATATATATGTTTCTGAGCCCTACTGATGATTTGGAAGAGAATCAGATATTTACTGGGCAAAAATACCTTCAGGTTTTGTTGATACTATTTGTATTTGGGTATTGGTCGTGGATTATAAGGAATTCATTCTGAGGGAAACCATCTCTTTTTTTTTTATTATTTTTCAATTGCCAGATTTTGCTGGTATTACTCGCACTTGTTGCTGTTCCATGGATGCTGTTTCCAAAGCCATTCCTTTTGAAGAAGCAACACGAGGAAGTATGTATATGCTTGACACAGCCAAGAGCAATTGAATACAACTTATTAGGTTATGTTGTGTGAATATTTATTTACAATCATTTCTTGCTTCCTCAGAGACATCGGGGTCAATCCTATGCTCCGCTTCACAATGCTGATGATGCAGTTGAATCAGAAACAGACAATCATGGACATGGACATGGACATGAAGATTTTGAATTCAGTGAAGTTTTTGTACATCAACTAATTCATACAATAGAATTTGTTCTCGGATCAGTCTCCAACACAGCTTCTTACCTACGGCTGTGGGCCCTCAGGTGTGTATCCAACAACCTTGACTTTTAACTATTCAAGTCAGATATCTATCTGATACTCTTATTCCCATTTCCTTGAATTTACTTATGCTCATCAATATACTTTCTAAAGTCACATAGTGGAACTATGGAAATGCATCAAAATTATATGAACGGAATCACAGCAAAATTGGTGTATGTCTTGATGTTATGAGTGTATGTCAACACTTAGGGGAGTTAGGGGGCATTTGGTCCATGCCCCCACCCCCCCACCACACACACAAACACTTACATATATATATATTATGATTTCAATTCCCGTCTACTACTAAACAAAGAGTCTACTTTTATTAAGTACGGAGTATTTGATTTTGATTCTGATATTCCAACCAAATGTCCCCTTAGATTCTTTTTGGTTGTAAGTTTTGGCAAATGTTATCCTCTCACCACTCACAACTTCGGTTGAGGTCGAGAAGTTGGAATCCTTGTGACATGAAGTTCTTTTGTCTCCCTCCCATTGATGTCCATTTTGGATTTATGCAGTCTTGCTCATTCAGAACTATCGAGTGTGTTTTATGACAAAGTTCTACTTCTTGCAATGGGGTAAGGCTCTCTATTCTCTCGTACGTTGTTTTAGGATTGTCGAGTGTGTTGATAGTTCAAATAATTTGGCTAGCGGTATCATTCCTACAGGTTCAACAACATCGTCATCCTCATAATTGGCATAATAGTATTTATATGTGCGACGGTGGGTGTTCTTCTGGTGATGGAAACTCTGAGTGCCTTTTTGCATGCGTTGAGGCTTCACTGGGTTGAGTTCCAGAACAAGTTCTACGAGGGGGATGGATATAAATTTTCTCCATTTTCATTCGCCTCAATTGCCCACCAGGACGAGGAGTGACTACCATAACTGTGGACCAGTGAAATTGCAGCTTTTCATTCTTTTACACGCATAATGCAGTTAGAAATCTCATGCATAATGTGGATATTTTCTTTTATCTCTTATCCACCCATGTCTGGAATAAAGTGAAGTTGGTTGTTTTGAACACAGCCAATTGGGTTGCTTGGAAGTTGGGAATTGGGATGCTTGCTGTATATGTCCTTTTTGAAAGCTATTGAATTATTTTTCTTGTATTTTTTTCTCAACACATAAAACAATTAAATTTATAAAATATTAAATAAAAAGTCCAAAAAAAAAAATATCCAAGTTCCGTCAAATACATATTTGTATTTTTCTTTTTTTGTATTTTGTGTATTTTAAGTTAGTTGACACTGAAAATTTAATAAATATGATTATTTTTTTAATATTAGAATATTTGAATATATTTTAAATATTATTTAATTTAGTTAATTAGATAATATCAAAGAGTTTGAACATATCTAAATTCTTTCCTATCCTACAATTATAAATAGGAGATCTCATGAAGATCTCAATATCAATGTCTTTCCATGTCAAGACAAAGAGCACAGAGATATTTCAATAATTATAGATCATTAATAATAGATATAACACAACTACACAAGACTAGAGATAATATTAACTTATGAGGATTACATTCCAAAGAAAACCTACTACGTGGCAGACAGCGCTTAGGCACAGTTCTGTGGCGTCTAGAGAGCCAAGAAACAGATATTCAATCATACACAGTACATGCAGATTTTTTGTCTTTGAATATTTACAAAAACTGAGTAAAGCATCTAAGATGCAACCATAACTTATTACACGATACACCTAGAGATTTACTGCTTAATAGTGCTAGCAGCAGTCACGGTTGAAACCATGGAATCTATCCCACAGATATTATTGCCCCTGCAGATCTTGTAATATCCTTCCTCTCCCCAGTTTTCTCCCCAAGAATTCTTGACGATCCAGTATGGCTTGTCCTTGAACCTAATAGGGGCGTAGCCTGCGGCACCATACCCCACTAAGAGCACCCCGTGGTCCAAATTTCTCTTTGAACAAATGTATGGGCAGGAAACTCCTCCGATGTATGTCTGCATGAAAACAGCATTGATTCCCACTGCAATTGGTAAGGGGAAAGAAAACCAAGGGTTAGGTTCTTTTGTCCAGCCATCACAGATTCACATGTAGAAGTTACAAGATTGAAATCCAAGGGTGGGTAATAAGCTAACCTGAAAGTGGACCGTGTTTAACCAGATTCGCAGCAATTTGATCTTCATCAAGGGAGACTACGCTGAAGTTAGCAACAGCAGCAGCGATTTTGCTTTTATCAAACTTGCAAGTGCCATCCTTCCCAGTGTAGGGATAATCCTTTTCCTTCTCAAGACCACCTGACTGGAGTACATACTCATACGCAGTGGTCATCAATCCACCATTACACCCTGAATCACATGCACCAGCTTCCTCAGGATCACACTGCAAATAATAGGATCTTGGGTTGTCAATCATGTGTTACAAGAAAGGAATATTGTGATTGACTGATAGCTTATTACACATTTCCCATTATCAGTTAGATTTACTGCAGATGCAGTTTCAGGGTTGCAAAACGAGCTTTACAATTTTGATACATAAGAATAATATATCAAGAAAATTAAGAGAATTCCTTTCTTGCTCCATTTATCAGTTATTATTACAGTTCCAATATGCCACAGAACAAAAGTGTCTTGTGGTTCTACAGCCCTATATCCACAAGCTTCTCATTCAAACAAGAATATTTTCCCTTGCCTATGACATGGAAAAGATTGTGCTTCAACAAGAGTACATAAAAGCCTCAAACATAGTCAATTATAAAGCCATATGCATCCATGTAATTAATTAGAACCAATTATCTATGGACTAATTATTAAGAAGGCATTTGAATGTTAAATTTCATTGACACTCCATGAACCGCATAGGAGTGAGGACTATGTCAAATTAACAAGAATATCATGATCATAAATCTATGAATAGACAAAATCATTGTGTATAGCCGTATAGGAATCCCTAAAGGCTACATTAGCCATACGCCCAATACATCATATACATGTAGAACATCATATGAGAAACAGAGTAGGTTAGGTTAATCATAATAGTAAAGCAATTACGAATAATAGAGACTAGAAATCCCATTGTATTTTACCAGGACTAAGCAAAATGATAAACAAAAGAAGTTAAAACTGCCTATATAAAAGTCAACGGATAGAAAAAACTGACCAAATGGTCGCAGTCCACAAGCTGCTGCTCACTGAGGCTCACTAGCTCACCGGTCGCCAGAAAATTTGCTCCTTCCAACGCTCCCGTGGTACTAAACGACCAGCACGATCCACATGAACCCTATCAACTTCCTCAATGTCAGACAACACATACATATGCGTGTATGTGTATAATATAACATAAACAGAAGTCGGAGTACAAGCTAAACAGACCTGATCCTTTACGCCGGTTACGGCACCATAGTCACGCCAGTCGAAGTCGGAGGGGAGATCGCTGGTCGGGAGGATCTCAGCCGCATGAGCATCGGCTGGGAGCTTGAGCTTCCGCTTGCCGGAGCTGCTTTTCCTGATTCCGAGGAAGGTCCGCCGAAACTCCTTAGGAGTGAGATCGGAGAACTTCGTGACGCCGTGGACGGCGGAGGGGTCCAGCAGCTGGTGGCGCTTAGCACGGCGCAAGTTAGCCTTGAAGACGGAGAGCCTGTAGTCGTGCTCCTCCTGCGTCGCGTAGCTCTTCCCGTACTTGGACTTGAACAGCGTGAAGTGATGGTCGGCGTTGAGCAGAGCATCGTCCTCGCCGTCCGACACGACCTGCCGGATCAACGGATCCTCATCGGCGCGCACGACGCACGCCGCCGTTAAGGCGAGTATCAGTAGGGAGAGGAGAGAAAACCGATCCATCGGAGAGAAGATATTTTTTTTTACTGTGTGCTGAATGGAGACTGAAATAGTGATTATAGCAACAGTTAGGTAGAGGATGAGGCGTTGAGATTATGACACGTGTCAGTTAGGTATTGATTAGATTGGGTATAATTTCTACGTAGCGGAAAGTGACAAGGGAGAGGTTGCTTCCTCTAGTTTGCCAAGAAAATCGGGGTTTAAAATATCAATCACGTGCCTTTCCCACTTGTCTTTTTCCATTTTAATTCTACGATGCGCTATAATAAGTCTTATCTTTTTCAAATCTTTTTAACTATTTCACTGTTAAATTCACCTAAAAAGAATAGAGATTAATAAAATATTTATAAATTCATTATATTTATAAAAAAAAAAAATGTATAGATTAATGCAAGAGAGCATAAATAAAATCAGGCGGGCCAGAATTTCAGGAGTTTGCCTGAGAATTAACATGTCTAAGGAACAACTGAATAGAACAAAAAGTAAATGAACGAATTAAATCCCTACAACTATTAGTAAACATAAAATGATTTTAAAAGTAAATGACCAATATGTCAAGATTTAAAACTAAATAATATATGTATCGCTATGTCTCCTCATATGATACTTGGATGGATGAAGTGCGCCAAAATCACCCGTGACTTTAAACCAACCTCACATAAGACACCACATAAGTATACAACCTTAGAGGTTTTTGCACTTTTGATCTCACGATTATCGTGTCATTAACAACTTTAATCCACGACTTTTAAAACTTGTAAAATTGATCTACGACTATGACTTTCTTAGCAAATTTGGTCCTTCCGGTGCATTTTCTGTTCAATTTTTGCCAGATATGTTTACTCCCCATTTTAACAAGGGTAATATTGTCTTTTCTATCTCACAAACTAATTAATGACATAAATAAACAGCTAAAAAATTTTAGCGTTTAACGAGGAGGGTGAAACTGAAAGTGGACTTGGAATTGAGTGACTTTTAATTTCAATCACCGTACAACTGGTTGTGTTTAATTAATTAATTTATTTATTTATGTCATTAGTTTGTGAGATGGAAAAGACAATATCACCCATGTTAAAATGGGGAGTAAAATTTTCTGACAAAAATTGAACGAAAAATGTACCAAAAAAACTAAATTTACTAAGAAAGTCATAGTCGTGAACTAATTCTACAAATTTTAAAAATTATTGATCAAAATTATTAGTGACACCATAATCTTAGGACAAGAATGCAAAAAAACTCTACAACCTTACGTAGCCGTGTAGGACACATTGGCTATGACATCATTAACCCCATTTGCTCTCTTGGGCCAATTTTTGCTCTCTTGGTCTTACCACCATTATGACCCAAACTCTAATTTTCATATAAATTTAATAATATTTTTTCGAAGACTTATGAAACGGCATTAGTTTTACTCTTAATTAACTAATAATAATTTTTTAAAAAAAGAATAATTGTGTAGCTGTTACTAATTAAAAGCTCTTAATGGCTATACAAGTTTAACACAATACCAATTTACATTGACCATATAATTCATTTTTCATTGATTTTCATTTTCACTCTCTTACCAAACACAAGAAACTCAAAAAATAATTTTCAGAATTTCTGAACACACCATAAATTCAATCTCATTATTGGCATGGTCTTATGTCTATTTGTCTTATTGTAGAATTGGAGATTGTTCATTTGTGGTGGCCACTTCCCCACGAGTATTAGTTCAAATACTTGAACCTCATGGAGAGTCATCATGCTATGAGCTTAAAAGAGAAAATTACCGATTTGGTCCCTCGACTATGAGGATTTCACCAATTTGGTCTTCGACTACCGAAATTACTCAATTTGGTCCTCGACTATGACATTTTTACCTGATTTGGTCCTAAGTGTTATTTACAAGTCAAACCTAAAGGGAAATTTTGAGGTTTAAAAAAAGTATCTTCCTTCTTCTTCCCTAAATCTACGTCGTTTGTTTTATATAGATAGGTTATTTGTTTTCGATAGCAGTCGCAGCTTCAATATGCAACCAAAGTGTCATGAATCATCTTCATCCAGCTATAATAATCGAATGATGTTCAAAAATTTGTTGTCTTGTGCCAACATCATTTTCATCCAGCTATAAGCATCTCCATTTTCGAACATCATTCGATTCTTATAGCTTGATGAAGATGATTCACTGCACTTTGGTTGCATATTGAAGCTGCGATTGCTATCGAAAACAAATAACCTATTTATATAAAACAAACAACTTAGATTTAGGGAATACGAAGGAAGATACTTTTTTAAAATTCCAAAATTGCCTTTTAGGTTTGACATGCAAATAAGACTTAGGACCAAATCAGATAAATATGTCATAGTCGAGGACCAAATTGAGTAATTTTGATAGTCGAGGATCAAATTGGTGAAATCCTCATAGTCGAGGGACCAAATCGGTAATTTTCTCGAGCTTAAAACGATACTGACACCCATAATAATTAATACTTTATCTACCACCGGCCAACATTAAATGCCCAAATCCCAATTGCCCATCTAGTTGCACATGTGACCTGTATCAGGCAAAATTAGAAGTTTATAGTTTATACGTTACCACTAGATAAGGATTTATTTTTTTTTAGGATGACTCAAAAGTTTTATACAAATTTTTGATTAAATGTTAGCGTAAGGTCCAGTTATTAGTCAATTTACGATAAATAGTTAAGGCTTAAAGATACGTGCTAAGTAAATCTCACTTTTATGTAATAGTTGTAAATCATATAGACATTAAGAAAAATATGTATCAATGCTCAATCAATATGAGAATTACTTTTCACCACACTCACCCATTCCTTTCGGGGTCAATTTTTAATAAATTTTTTGTCTAGCCAAACACTATTTCACTAAATAATTGTTTGTTTGTTTGTGCGAACCATGTTTGATTGTTTATTTGTTTAAATTGACTTTATTATTTTCTTTAGTTTTTTATCAACCAAATAATACGTTTGGATCTTAAGGGTCTCTTACTGCTCTTGTTAAAAAGACGAGTGAAAAAAAGTAGATTGTACCTTAACCTCTAAAATAATTGAATTATTCAGTATTATTCGTTCATAAGTCAAAACTAACAAGTAACACAACAACTAAATCTTTAAGCTCCTATTTCCTAATTGTTGGGAAAAATAGCATCAAATGATATTTTAAGTGACTATTTTATGGTATAATTATTAATGGGGTCCACTTTTGAGTTGGACCGAGTCAAAGTGGATTCGGGTTCTTCGTAATGAGACAGAGATATTGATATATTGTACGCTCAAAACGGATTATAAGTGAATGAGAAATTGATTCTCAAAGTAGACTCATTTGAGTTGAAAAAATGAAGGGGAAAGACTTAACATTTGTCCCACATTAGTTTGGAAAGTGAGTTTGTACTACTATTTATACAATAGTATTTCTAAGACTAATTGAAATGTATAATAGAGAGGTTCTCTCTCACCCCAAGAAGGTGAAAATCAAATCCTCAAATACAGGCTAACATTTATTTATTTATCTCCATCAATCATGAGATAACGTGTAAACAAGATGAAGTCACTATTATGCCCTCCATCATCTTCCAACCCAATTTTGTATCTCTCTCAAGACACAACACATTTGCCCATTCTTGCACACCTTCTCACATTTCTTTATTTTCCAAAGGATAAAGCTATGTACATCTTCTCACATTTCTTTATTTTCGAAAGGATAAAGCTATGTACATCAACGATTTTTTTTGTTTTCTTTTTATCAAAATCATTTGACTACTCCGTATTTGATATGGTAATATATGATTCCCATTAATTTTATCATTTGACCAAATAAGTGCTTGGAGATGTTGTTCTAAACTACTACCTCAAATACCGTCTAAAATTTTGTGTCAATCTTTTTTCGATCTTCCAATAAAATTAACTTTTGCTTAGGGCTGTTAACGAAGCGAACATAAATGAACGGAGGCTGTTCGTGTTCATTTGTTAAGGAATTTGGAGTGTTCATGTTCATGTTCGTTTGTTAAGGTTTTTGAAAATCCTGTTCGTGTTCGTTAGTGTTCGTTAACGTTCGCGAACACATTCACGAACGTGTTCATTAACGTTAACGAACATGTTCGCGAACATGTTTGTTAACGTTCGCGAACACGTTCGCAAATTTGTTCGTTAACGTTAATAAACACGTTCACAAACATGTTCATTAACAAGCACGTTCACGAACATATTCATTTACGTTCATGAACACTTAATAAACAAACATCTGCACATGTTCATGATCACAATTCGTTCGTGAACAATAGTCAAACAAACAACACAACTACAAAACTAATATAATATAATATAATATAATATAATATAATATAATATAATATAATATAATATATATGTTTGTGAACATGATCGCGGACATTATTAAACGAACACAAACGAGCTTGTTCACGAACATTGTTAAACGAACATAAACGAGCTTGTTCACGAACATTAGTAAACGAACACAAACGAGCTTGTTCACGAACATTAGTAAACGAACACAAACGAGCTTGTTCACGGTCTCTTAGCAAACGAGCTTACAATTGTTCAAGCTCTGTTCGTTTATTAACCGAGCTCTAAATTTTGTTTGTTAATGTTCGTTTACCTTAACAAACGAACATAAACGAACGCTTACTGAACACGAACACGAGTAGTTTGTCGAAAGCTCTGTTCGCTAACACCCCTACTTTTGCTTACTTTCTTGGTCACTCTCCTTAGAGCATCCACAAAAGAAAATAATATGAGATTAATGTCAGATGAAATAACTTAGGTGGAGTTATTTATAGATGTGGGGTGGGATTATTTCAAAAGTTATTTGTCATGCAAGATACAAGATAATGTCAGAAATTAAAAAAAAAAAAAAAAAAAAAAAAGCTTGGCAAAAGCATGGCGCATGCATTGCACACGACTGGTGGCGCACCGGCGCGCCTAACTTCACTGTTTATTTATTTATTTATTTATTAAATTCAGTTTCCCTCTCATATTCTCTTTCATAATCACTCTTACAATAACCTCATAATATCCCCAACTGA